GCCTCGTTGAAACTGTCTGGAAGATTTCTTGCCAAAAAAGCTAACACAAAACTAAGAATGGCTAATAAACCAATATAACCAAGTAAGATTCCAAAACCAACAGTGGAGCCAATGGCACATTCATACACTATCTTGTCACTGTGATACTGGGTGTTTTTGTGAGGAGCTGGTGAAGCAGAGACAAGCCAAACAGTGCAGATTGCTGCTTGTACTGAGGTCAGAACAAGAACTGTTCCTCTCTGCTGAGCAGCACCAAACCACTTCATACTGGCTTCACCTCCAGGTTTAGAGGCTCTGAATACAGCCAGAACCACCATAGTCTTTACCAGGATACATGAGATACAAAGCACAAAGATGATGCCAAATGCTGCATGTCTAAGTTGGCATGTCCATAATCTGGGTGGTCCAATGAAGAGCAACGAGCAAAGGAAACACAGCTTGAGTGACATCAACAGCTGAAAACTAAGTTCAGAGTTGTTAGCACGAACAATAGGTGTGCTGCGATAATGAACAAAAATGCACAACACAGCCGTACAAATGAATGAGCCGAGTACAGAGGTAACTGTCAAACAGATACCAAGAGGCTCATGGTAGGAGAGGAACTCAGTTTTCTTAGGAACACAGTGGTCATTCTGGATGTTGGACCAGAAATCTTCTGGGCAACTGATGCACTCCATGGAATCTATAAAAAAGATAGTTGTGGTCATCGTAAGTCACTGTAGAATTTTCCAAATCAAAACTCCAGGCTTTTCGGCCCAGGTTAAGGACTTTACACTCACTGGTTGCATTGCTGATCTTTCCTCCAGAACAAGGAACACAGTCAAAACAACACTCAGGTTGACCTTTTCTCCGGGCCACACGGGTACCTGGAGGACAGCTGTCACTACAAACTGACCGAGGAGGCTAAACAGGAAAAAGCACAGAGCAAATATGTTTGGTGTCCTTGTTCTTAAGAACAGTAATACATGATGATTTTATTTATAGTCAATGTATTTGTATTGAAATTGTTTTCATATGCACTGTACATAAAACACAGTTGTATAAACCTGTTAAAAATAAAAAAAACGAGTTTAAATAACGAATTTACTGTGAAGACCTTATGGGCTGGTTGCATTGCCACTGTGGAAATTGTAATAAATCTCCAGACACAAGTAATACTATGTGTCAGAAGCAGTGGTGGGTAATAACGAGTTACATTTACTCTGTTACATTTACTTGAGTAAGTTTTTCAAAATAAAATACTTCTAGGAGTAGTTTTAATAACTATACGTTTTTCTTTTACTTGAGTAGATTTATGAAGAAGAAACAGTACTCTTACTAAACTACATTAGGCTATACTGAGCTTGTTATTTTTTATCAGAGATACTAGATAAAGCTTTGGCTATCCAGTATCTAGTTTTCTATTCATACATGATGCAGTATCTCTGCTTTTATTTTGTCAGAGAGAGACTTCCGCTGAAGGCTCTACTGCATGACTGTTTCACCAATAAAACATATCCCTTGCTGTGCGGTCTAGTAATGTGACGGGTTAGTTTATTGGCCACTGCTGTCGATATCCACCGTCTTTGATAGCAAAAAATGGTAGAATCAACGGTCGGCAACACAGACAAAGATGAGGAGACATCCCGGACTCATATTGAAAGCATGTTCAGTTTACAAACACTGCGGAACAGCATCATGCAGTGTCTTGTGTCGCTCCCAAAACATCAGCATGTCTAACCTGAAGAAATATGTTGCTGTACTTTTGACCTAAAATTGTTTTTTTTAATTATTATTATTTTGTAAATATTCATTTTTTATGTATTATAGAATTGATGTTTATTTTTTATTGAGGTACTCGAATTTACCTAAAGGTTATTTCATTTTAAGGTATTTCATTAATTTATTTTTTATTTTAATATTTTTCTGATAGGATAAACTCTCCTCTGTAATTGAATGCTCATTAAAAAATAAATCAGATGTTATTCAACAGTTACTCAGTACTTGAGTAGTTTTTTTCACCAAGTACTTTTTACTCATACTCAAGTAATTATTTGGATGACTATTTTTTACTTCTACTTGAGTAATATTATTCATTTTATACTATATAATACAGTTCAGGCTGTAATTTGCATAAATTTCAGGGATATTTTTAATTGTGTGACAATAAACAAAAGAGAGGAACCTCTTGTTTGTGGCCTGGCTTTGTTTAGACGTTGCCCGATTCACATGACATTCATGTGTAAAGAAAAAACAATCTAACATTTTAAATATTTTTTATTAATTCGATGCAAAAGAAAACTTACCTTTTTAGGATCAAAATTCCAGAAGATTTTTTCTTCATCAAGAGTGAGTTCTTCACCCTTGAAGGTTGACCTTTTCACCTCACCCACATTTTGAACTTCAGTGCTTCCATCAGGCAGCCAAGACCAATTCATGATGTCATATATTGGTAAGGCGTCACCATTCTCATCAAATGACACGTGATCACCAAATTGTGTGGTGAAGTTGACTTTTTCCAAGTAATAAACAATCTGTATAAATCAGAAATAAATATACTCTTGAAATAAAATAAAATGCTTTCTACTATAAAGTATGCTTAAGAGTATAATACAGCATAGTTTTTTTCTCTATGCTCATTTCTTAATATTCACTGTCTGTCAGTATTAGGGTGTAGATTGTTAACTGACAACACACCTGCCATGGTTCCAGTCTTTGTAATTGAGCACAGGTGTCTCCACTGAAAGGTCCTCTTCCTGGTTCACACTGCAGCATGTCATCAAGAGCATGTGCCAGAGCATACACTGCCTTATACACATTATACTCTGGTCTGAGGTCTGAAACATCCAAGAATTCCTCAGCTACTTCATCCTCTAATACCTCCTGTCCAGTGCATAATGCTCCTCCATCTTCTATCCAACCTGCTGGAGTTGGTGAAAATCTGCACTGGAATGTGTGTTCCCAAAATTGATTCACCTGGGGTATACATTCAACATAGTGATAAGGCTTGAAGTATGTACCGCTACAATTTATGAAATGATATGATCATATTCTCACCAAGTTGTTTCCATTACTGTTATTATATTTTAAATCAGGACGTATTTGTAATAGGAAATTCTTGAGACCAGGGATTTCTCCTCGACGGATGGCAATGCCTAGGGTTCCACCCAGGTATGGCATGAGGTGAGGTGCCTGTAGCACAGCAGCTGATGTCCAGGCTTCACTGGCCATCCACTGCAGGCCTGTCACATTCTGCCCTATCACCTGGACATTGAACAACATACGAAAATCTGTTGCATTTGTTGTACAGTTCTACAATTTAAAAAAATCAGTGCATAAACAAGACAAACATTTCAATACAATGAGGGTAAAAGGGACCTTTTTACAGGACTCACCTCTTCCATGAGATTGAGGATGTGTGT